CTGTTCTCAAGAGAGCCTAAAATGATTCTTAACCAGAATCTAAGAGCTATTTAAAAAAAAAAAAAAAAGAGCAGCTAAGATAACTCAGCTGAATGAGGCTGGAGCCAGAATTGAGTCTGGGCTTAGCACCATCAGTGAGGTGACAGAAGTCTGGCCACCACCTCTGTCTGAGTAATAGGATTTGCAGGCTCTGGCCTGCACTCATGATCACAACACGACTGATGGGGAAGATTTTTTTCTGGGTCCATCAGTTGTCATGGGCATATGACACCTTGCCTTATTCACATAAGGCTCTAGAGGCTAAACTTGTTGAAAACTTGGACTTTGCCCAAGACACAGCACCAAAATAGCTCTTACAAAAGGGAAAAATCAACAATGTGGTGTACTGGCCCCCAGAAAGAAAAATGTTCTCAATGCCAATAAGACAGCTTGCTTCTGCATTGTTTAATCCCTTGCTTCAAGTGGATTTTTAATCACACTCTACTTTTTTTTGACACTTCTGTTTTACACGAGGATTTTTAGGTTTATTAATCGGCAATCATGGACTAGCAGTACCTCCTGCTCAATCTAGGGCAGAGTAATAGGAACATGGAGTCACATTTAATCTGCATGAAACTTCACTGGGGTTCAACTTCTTCATCAGCAGAAGGAATAATTAGACAGATGATGAAGTCCCTTCTAGTGCTAAAACTTGGCTTCTTTGACACAGTCCACCAGATTTCTAGGTTAGTGCTACAAACATTCCCCAAGAGACTACTAAAGACCTCCTCTGTCCGGGTCAGGATTGAAATGCAAACAAGACATGGATTCTGCTACTGAAGAACTCATCATCCTATACATTAACATGGACTGAGATCAACTTTCTCCTTTTGATATAAGATAGTAAGGCACTAAGCTGGAGGTGTTTGGGAAGGACTGACTATAACAACAAAAATATAAGGTATTAGAGAAATCTCTTTGTTTTAAATATAAATAACTGCTTCTCTGTTTGCTATCTTAGAGAAACTAGAGCAACTGGGTGGTTGTTTTAGAAGTTGCCCTGTTTTTCTCCCTTACAAAGATATACAAATTCTACTTGAAGTAACTCCTCCAGCCCTACAAATAGACATTTGGTCACTTAGGTTAAAAAACACAAATATGAGAACTAGCCATCCTGGGCTACTGGAAAAAGCAATCAATCAACAAATTTTGTCAATGGCATCTCTTATCAGAGGAAAAGAATATGAGGCAATGCACCCCAAAACTGTTTTCATATTTATCACAAACTTTAGTAGCCTGCATCAGTGAGGTAGTTTGAAAGAGATGTAAAGTTACAGCTGTGTGGACATTATAACCAGATTCCACCTCCATGTTTCCCATGATAGAAACATACATTCTGCCGAAAGCAGGGATTTCACTTTTAATCCTATGCATACAATAAAGTTTCACCCATCATCCCTAGAGTATACACATGTTGATGTTTTCATAGTAGTTGCAAGGGATTTGCAGCCAAACATCTAGCATCCCTTACTGTTCCCCTTTGAAAAGGTCAAACTTGGTTGGCCTTCATAAGCACTGAAGCTGCAACCTTCATCAGGAGCATAACAGACTTAGCTGGTCATCAACAATTTCATATGCTTCTAGCTGCAAGACAAAAGCAATGACTCAGGCTGCACCCAGGGTGCAATGGAAACACAGGGAAAAATGTCCAAATCAAACAGCATACATGCGCATTTTCCCGAGGAAATGCTTCTCTTACAGTGTCCTAGGGTTATTTCTGTTATTGTTTTGCTTTGCTGTTTAAAAACAAAAAAAAATTTTTTTTTTTTTGAGATGAAGTTTTGCTCTTGTCGCCCAGGCTGGAGTGTAATGGCACAATCTTGCTTCACTGTAACCTCTGCCTCCTGGGTTCAAGCAATTCACCAGCCTCAGCCTCCTGAAAGCTGGGATTACAGGCATGTGCCACTACGCCTGGCTAATTTTTGTATTTTCAGTAGAGACGGAGTTTCACCATGTTGGCCAGGCTGGTCTGGAACTCCTGACCTCAGGTGATCCACCCACCTCAGCCTCCCAAAGTGCCAGGATTATAGGCATGAGCCACCGCACCCAGCCACTGTTTAAAATTTATGTGCCATTACCTAGTTGATGGGGACCTTTACAACAGAAGATATCTCCATCAAGCCATACTAGTGAATATGGCCAACATTTGTCTGATAGCAAAAGTTCATGTGAAAAAATTCATTAGCAATCTACAGGACTATATGAAACTTACAGGTATGCTTTGAATACATAAAAAGACTTCTGCCATGGCCAAATTAAGACCTCTAGAGATTGTAATATGTGAAGAGATAACCCCATCCTACACACACCCCCTGCCATGTGTACTGAAAAATACATTTTTAGTATGCCAAAATTAAAGTTGCTTTGTCTAGACTTTTTAATGGCAAAATTCTAGATAATTTCATGCGAGCAAACCTTTTTCACTTTTTAATGCCTCTGATTTACCAGCATGGGCTTTAACTGCCTGCTAGATAACCCAGCAGATATTGGGTGGTCAGCTTGGCCTCCTCACTACTAGGAGTGAGATTAAAACTCATACCTCTGTGAAATCGCCAAAGATGATGTGACATGGACTTTTAATAAACTTCTCCCAGGGGATACAACTCATGAGCTTAAACAAAATTAGTTAAAGGTCCTGCTTTGACCAAAATTGAACTAATTTCAAGCCCACAGGTCAGTGGACCCCTGGATTGCTCAACTAGGGTGAAGTCAAAGGGATTCTGGCCCAAAAAACTTCATGTAGAACAATTGAGAAGTTTCAGGTTTTTTTTTCTGTGGGTGACATGCTCTCCTTCCTAAGGCATTACCCAGCATGATTGTGTTTTGCTGTGACTAAACCCCAATCCAGGCTCTAGCCCAGAGCTGAATATTTAAAAACTGGAAGACTGAAGACATATTACCAATAAGTTGGGAGGTAGCTCCCTGAAGTTGCCTTCGAACACCTAGAGAAGAGGAAGCACAGAAACAAACATCTAGCAGTGGACATGGCTTGGAAACTAGACATTCTTCTTGTTGACTGACTAGTTACTTAACACTTACTGAGTAATTATCAGAAACCTCTTTCTGACTTGCTCCCTGTGAATCAGCTTATGGTATTGTTGATGACCGGTTCAGAACAATCAGACACAGCAAATATTCTCCTTCTGCAAGTGGGTCTTATCTTAAAACAGGTCTCATCCCACGGTACAGTTTTAAAAATTCTCTGCCTATGGCAAAGTTTGTTTGTATGTTCAGCTATAAATACATTCATCAAACAAGTACTTATTTTGTGCCTACTAAGCACCATAAGCTGACCTGGGCACTGAGGGGATGTCAGGAAGCAGGAAGGACAAGGTCCCTACTCATGCTGGGTTAGGGAAGAGTCCTAAGCCCAGTGAACTGGGAACTGGTCATATCTCACCAGGGAGGGCTCGCTCGCTTTCTCCTTCCTTCCTTCCTTCCTTCCTTCCTTCCTTCCTTCCTTCCTTCCTTCCTTCCTT